TTAATAAAGCAATAAATGTTGCTTGTTGCTCTCCAGAAACAACTAAACAATTAGATATACATATGTATATTCAGATCTGCAGTTATGCTTTGATGTGATGGACTCTATAAAAATCCAGAACAAGGCACCAAAGTGATAAAAGGGTTAGGTCAGCCTTACAACTGCCTTCATTCCTGTCCATTAAGATCCATATGGCTGATTACCATAATAAAATAATAATTCCCTTTAGAAATTCTGATTAGAGCTCTTATTCCCTTCTCCACTTTTTCTTTAAGCCATCAGTATTACCCAAATGATTACATTGGATACCAATGGCAGACAAGCCACCAGTAGTTAATATTCTGATGAGCATGTATATTTTCTGTATCTCTCTGCATGACATGAGAAAACATAAGCAACTTTTATAAACTGAAGAAAAGTTGGAAAGTTGAGCTGAAGATTCCTTTCTAGAAACTTCCATTATGACCACTGAGGCTTTCAAATTTTTCTTCATTTTCTTTTAATTTTTGGGGTTTTAAATCGGCCAAATCTATTTAATTATTTTAATTTTTAATTATTGTTGTGTCTTGTGTTTTTAAATTGGCTGTACACCGCCCTGAGTCCTTCGGGAGAAGGGCGGTATAGAAATAAAATTATTATTATTATTATTATTATTATTATTATTATTATTATTATTATTATTATTATTATTATTTCAAAGACTGTGGACGTCTACAAATGGTAAAGTTTCAACGTGGAATACAAAGGAAGAGGAGGGACCATTAGGCTTCTTCTCAAAGGTGCTTTTTAAAAAGGCAACTGGACTTTCTTTGTTTTTCCTTGAAGACATTTTGCTTCTCATCCAAGGAGCTTTTTCAGTTCTTCAGAAGAACTGCCTGGATGAGAATCAAAACGTCTTCAAGGAAAAACAAAGTCCACTTGCCATTGGAAAAAGCACCTTTGAGACAACCATGACCTAGATGACTAAAATAGTATTGGGTCTCCTGCTTGAGTAGCGAGTTGGACTAGAAGACCTCTAAGGTCCCTTCCAACTCTATTCTGATTGATTGATTAACTGAGAATCTCCATAGAGATTAGGCCTCTTTTTTTTTTCCTTTTAAAACTCAAAACAGAAATGCACCGAGTCCTCTTTGGACACTTCTGAATGTGAACTAGTTCCTGAGAAACTATAAAGCTAGAAGTAGCACTTTACTGTCAACCGGTCTTTGAAGGTAACAGAACCTTTGCAATAATCAAATTAGGGGCGGGGATGCTAAATTCCTATCCTCTGTTACTACCATTGTTTCAACTGCTGCACTGCATATTTAAGAAAAACAATGAGTCCCTCCTAAAGATTTTTTTTAAGGTCAGATATGATTCAGGTCAGAAATCAAAGCAACTATTCAAAGCAAGCAATAGGGAAGAAAGGGAAGGTACAGTCAATATCTACTATACAGTAGATACAGTCCAAAAGAACATGTACCTAAGGTTTCAGCAACTGATAACCCCAGGGCTAATGTTGCAGTTGCTACCCCAGATATTAAGAAGACTATGATTTGGAGGGAAGAGCAATTGTATCCAGGACAGGGGTAAAATCAGCAGGTTCTGGAGAACCGGTAGCGGAAATTTTGAACAGTTCGGAGAACCGGTAGCGGAAATTTTGAGTAGTTCAGAGAACTGGCAAATTCCACCTCTGGCTGGCTCAAAGTGGGGTGGGAATGGAGATTTTGCAGTATCCTTCCCCTGCCACGCCCACCAAGCCATGCCCACCAAGCCACCCCCACAGAACCGGTAATAAAAAAATTTGGATTTCACCACTGATCCGGGATTATCAAAAAGGCCATTGGGGAGTAAAAATATTTGGGTGTATGCAATTATCAGTTGCAGAGGAACAAAGGCAGGAAAGAGAGCAACTCTGTGATGTGGGAAGTCAGTGTGTTGTGGTTCAACAAACTTGTGGAGAGAGAGAGAGAGAGAGAGAGACAGACAGACAGACAGAGACAGACAGACAGAGAGAGAGAGAGAGACAGACAGACAGACAAACAGAAAGAGAGAGAGAGAGAGAGGCAGAGACAGAGAGAAAGAGAGAGAGAGAGAGAGAGAGAGAGAGAGAGAGTACACACACGCACGCACACACACACACAAAAATTGCAGTGGCTGGGCCCTAGTCTTGACTTCTATTCTGCATTCCCTCCCCTCTTTCCTCTCTTTAACAAATGTAGTCTTGACAATCTTAATTTGTGCCATTCCTTACTGTGAAAAAATATGTCATGGTGTCAGAGTTGGAGCTTCTATTTATCTACTGGAAATTTAATATTGGCTTCCTAAACATGGCTGTCCTTACTCCCCACATACCCCCCTCTCCATTAATGTTACTGGGGAATTTGTTCAAATTGGGAGCAGTGTGTTTTCACTTGTATTTGGCTGCAATTGGAATAGAAGACACTTCCAAGAAATGAGAAGCTGCTATTCTGTTACATTGTGCTGGGATCCGCAGCTTTGAACACCCCAAAAGCATCAGTGGTCACTGTGAGATATTAAGTACCAAACTAAAATGGATCTTGGCCTGACCCAGTAGGGACAAAGATTTATAACATTTCCAAAACAGAAATAAAATAAAGATCTATTTTATTACTTAAGGGTAGTAATATCACTGATTAACTCTTCCTAAATGCCCAATATTGTTTTTGTCATACAAGATGATTGATCATATGAATCTCTAACTGAATACTTAATACATTTAATTATCACTTGAAATACAGCACTTGCCCTGTACTTCTGGTTTTGTTTATTTCCTAATGCAAAGCCATAGGTTCAACAGGGAGAGCCTTTGGCTTCCCCCCCTCTTGTATTACAGTACTGTTAAAAGCTGAACAATCTGAATATTGTTCAGTTCTGGTGATCATCCTGCAGGAAATCCAGCTATGTGGTCACGTAGAGTCAGCACCAACTTGATGACACATAATCAATCAATCCATGATCACGGTGTTGACAGCAATGTGTTGTCAGGAACTACAAGACGGCAGACTTGGCATTCAGTTGAAGTGCTGCCTCAGGTTTTATATATGCCTACAAAAGAGGAAGGCCCTCCACCCCTTGATGCTGCCTCAGTCATCTTGCAGATTTTGACCTCCTCAGAGAGGCTGTGATTAGTAGGAACAAGAACTCATGACCCATTTGCACAGATACCTCAGTGAAAATTCATTTAAACAGACCCATCATCAAAGCAAATCATCTATTGTTCTTAGTCACAATTCCATTTTTTCTTCCAGTTTCTACTGATTAACAATCCCTTCTTTTGACTCATGCATAGCCCATTAAAATTCTTAAAATATTTCTACCTCAAAAGTCTCATTTGGGAGTAAAAGGTTCATTTGGGAGGAAATTCTTGCATAGAGTTCCGTAAGGGATTACCGTGTAAGTATACTATTGAATGTACAGTTTTAACACCTGTAGTCACCTCAGACAGCCATCTTTTATATGTGTCCTTACTACAATAACCACTTACTTTTGGTAATGTGACAACAATTCAATCCATTCAGCCTTTGGAAAGACTGCCATGTATCATATGCTGTAAAATGAGATTACTAGTAACCCAATATTTTCTTTCAGAATTACTTATCTGAGCTGGGCAACCTGCAGAAGAATGGGGAAGTGATTCCAATATCTTCACAAGTTGCATACAATGAACTTCCCTCAACAGACATTCCCTGCCTCAGGTGAACATAACACCCTTTGTGCACAACAACAGAAATCTGACAAACTAAACATATGTAATGCACTCCAAAGGTGCTGGAATTACTGTTTCCAAAATAACTAGCCAACATGGCTGACAATGTTAGTTGGATTGTAGCATTTCCAAAACTGGTGGACAGCAGATTGAGAAACAATAGCCTAACCTACCTCCCAGGTAGGAGTAGAACTCCAGGTTGTGGGTAAAATGTTTGTATTTGGAAGAAAGGAAGAAACAAACCTGAAAGGAATCAAGGCAGCTTTTGGTAGAATTTATTTCTGACTTTGACATGGAGCTAGGGTTTGCCATGATGGAAAGGCTAGCAAGGGGTAGCATCTAGAATATCTTGAAGAACCGCAAAACACAGTGGGTTGGGCTGAATTAATACTTGAGGAGCCACTATGAAAATTTCAAGGTTCTAGGCTACAATGGAAAGTAAAAACTGAATGCTATAGCAAACTGTATACTTCTGTTTGATTATGGAAGTTATGGATATGCTCATATACTGTAGTCTTTAATAATTGAACTCAACCTGAGGGAGTCTTTACTTTGTACTTAGATAACAAATTGTGAGAGGCAGAGAAGACACCAAGGACAATTTCCACCCCTTAGAATTATAGAGCTGGAAGTGATCCTACTGCACACCATAGGATTCACTACACTAACTCTGACAGATGATCATCCAGATTCCAGTTGAAAATCTCCAACCTCTTTCTTCAGGTTTGGTTGTTTGGTGCTAAAAATGGGACACTAAACTATCATTGCTATCTCACTGTTTCTTTCTGAATAAAAGAGCTTCCTTATCTACAGTTGCTGGCCTTATTTTAACATTATTTTTTATTATTGGGTCCTTCAAGGCATGGCTTTCCTTAATCAGCGGCTACGAGAGCGAGGGCGCGCCAGGTAACCAGCTCCTCACTCGCGGCAAATGGCTGCTGTGGGGAAAGCCCCAAGTTCCCCTGAAGCGCTGACAAGGCCCCGTAAAGGATAAATGGCGGCAGGCGCCCCAGCCGGGAAACGCCTACTCGCCCAGCGCGAAATAAACAAACACGAAGATCGCAACCATCAGTAATTTAAATCGCCAATCCAAAATGCTAAAACACTAGAGAAATAGTCGCTAAAATCAAGAGAAAAAGGCACACCAGTCTGATCAAGACTGGATATGTGCAGATGGTGTGGGCGGGACCAAGCTGTGGAGGAAATTTTGAATGGCACTCAGTCGGTCTAATGATGGTGAAGAAAACCCAATCGGTGGAGTGTCGGAGCAGTGAGGAGGAAAATGCCATACCTGGTGTCTTCTCTGTGAAGATGACTTTGGATTCTGCTGTAAAGTTCTGGCCGGTTAAAATCATTTGCTGTCCACCGTATACAAGGCAGGTGTCCACATCTTGTCTTTCAACCATTGGAAGTTCATGAGCCGAACGTTGGGCTGTGAACAAAATACACACAGGAATTAAATTAAATCTTTTTTAAAAATTGGGAAATTTCAGAAGTACTCACGGGTTATATTTTATCAATATTGCCATCTCTTCACTGTCAAAGAACTTATCTGGAAGACTCATTTTTTTTCTTTTTACGACCCTGTAATCCCTTTTATCGGGGTGGAGTCAGGGCAATTGGATGGAGCTGAGTGTTTACTGGGCGGAGGCTCTTCCTTACACCTATGTGGAGTTTGCAGCATATATTTTCTCTTTGCATCCCGATGGAGAAATATCTGTTGCTGTCTAGGACTGAACTCTCAACCTTCCAAGTGGGAGGCAAGCATCTTCACCTCTAGGCCACCCTGCCACTCATCTGAGAGACTCAATTAAGGGCTTAAAAATAAAAGAGGAAATATAAACCTGTACTGAAATAATAATTAGGAACTGATTCCAGAATTTCAGCTCTACTGGCCTTACTCCTTGTCTCTAACAAACAAGAACTCAGAACTGGAATCAGCCCATGTTTCATTCCAAGACAATGGCCAAATATTCAATTATACATATGTTACAATCATGAAACCTAAAATCGCCACCTGCAGACTCAATTTCAATCAATAGGCCCAAATTCTTTACAGTGAGCTGAGACATAACTTATTCTGAGATGGAACAGGACAACTTTTCAATCAGCTAAGTAGCTAGAACCATGTTGGTGAACCTATGGCACCCGTGCCAGAGGTGGCACACAGTGCCCTCTCTGTGGGCACGTGAGCCGTCACCCCAGTTCAGCTCTGCTGCGCATGCACGTGCCCCTCCCACCAGCCAGCTGGTCTCTGCCATCCATGTGCGGGGGGTGGGGTGGGGCGCATGCAGTGCGGGACACTGCAGGGGGTGCGCATACATACAAGACCATGCAGGGTGCATGTGGGGGGTGGGGCACGTATGTGTGGGGCTGAGGCATATGTGCAGGAGCTGCGCATGCATTGCATTTTGGGGGTTCGGACGCACATGTGCGCTTTGGGCACTCAGTCTGGAAAAGGTTAGCCATCACTGAGCTAGAACATACTTTATCTCGTATTTCACTGGGATAAGTGAAAGCAGAGGAATCTGAGACAGGGAGCTAAATTGCAGAAAAAGATGTTGCAGAAAGTCCAATGGCTTATCCTTGTAAGGCACCTTTGATCTGTATTTAAAAGGTGTGAAGCATTCTACATAGCACTTTTGCATTTAACCCCTTTTGCCTTTGCAATAAAATCTTTCAAAGGGAAAGAAAGGATTGGAAAAAGGTAGAGAGAGACTGAATTCACAGATTCAGACTAGCCAGGCAAACTTTGAGCTTCAAATCCCTTGTTACTTAAATTCACAGAACAACCAACAAAGACCCTTCAGTAACAACTTATCTAGAACAATCATTTGCCATAAGGAAAGACACCTTGCTCACAAAAGGTCCATCCATACAATAATAAAGATCCAGCTAGTTTCCTCGCTGGACTATTCCTTGTAGTAATGAAATTTTCAGAATTTCACCTATCATCAGATGGTGGGGTTTTTTTCTTTCACCATTGAAACAGCTGGAAAAAATCAAATATTTTCTTTGGGCTGTTCCTAATACCTCTCAAGCTGTTGTTTAGATTAAGTGATCTAGAAATTCAAGATCCGAATTCAAACTCCTCCGTTTTAATCTCATCCCTTCAATGAAGGTCTCTGGAGAATTTTGTTCTACATCTTAATAATCTCCTTAACTATCTACTTGTGCTTTGTCTTGATTCATGGATTGGAAACTAATTTGTGCAGCCCTTCTGCTTAAAGATGGGCATTTTATATCACTTCTGCTTGGAATGAACAATTGCCATGGTTGCAAAGAAAATATGCCACCAGCGAACATCCTTTTTAGAGATACCATCACTTGGCCTACAGTTTGTACATTGGTGCATAAAATCGATGACAAAGCCTTCACAATTTTTCCATTTGAAAGTTTAATCATGCCAAGTTTTTAGAGGAAGTGACAGCAGTAGCTTTCTAAATGATGAGCAGGAAACGAGAACTACACTACGGGCAGAGTAGATGTGCTAATCTCCCACTTTACAGTGGCTACTAGAGCAGGGGTCTCCAACCTTGGCAACTTTAAGGCTTGTGGACTTCAACTCCCAGAAGTCCACAAGTCTTAAAGTTGCCAAGGTTGGAGACCCCAGTACTAGAGAGTATGGAGAATAATGGAGAATATTGTTTAGATATTTTGAATGAACGAAATGCATAATTTCTGGATAAAACTATGGATTGGAATATAACTAACTGTTTTCAAACATTTCTTTAGGTATTGTACCAGTAAAAGAGAATATTTGCTTAACGCATTGTAAGCCGCCCTGAGTCTCCGGAGAAGGGCAGCATATAAATTAAAGCAAAATAAATAAATAAATAAAAAATTGAGGGGTCCTTGGTGCTTTCTCAATTTAACGGGCTTGCCCACTAGAATATAAACTGAGAGCAAACCCCACTCCTTACTAGCACCAATGATACCTAGTTTGGGTAATGAAATGTCTGGAAGTAAACAACCAAGCTCAGAGAGCACTAAGGACCGTTCATTTAGATAGTGTATATGGAAACTCTCAATCATCCAGGTCATAGTTGTCCCAAAGGTGCTTTTTTCCCCTCAAAAGGCAACTGTATTGTGCCTTTTGAAAGAGCTGTGGTGGTACCATGGTTAGAATGCAGTATTGTAGGCTAAATCTGCCAACTGCCAGCAGTTTGTTTCTCACCGGCTCAAGGTTGACTCAGCCTTCCATCCTTCCGAGGTCAGTAAAATGAGGACTGTTGAGGGCAATATGCTGACTCTGTAAACCACTTAAAGAGGAATGTAAAGCACTATGAAGCGGTATATAAATCTCAGTGCTATTACTATTACTATTTTCTTGTTTTTTTCCTTTGAAAATGTTTTGTTTCTCATCCAAGAAGCTTCTTCAGTTCTAATTAGAGCACCAGAACAACTAGACACAAGGACAGTTTTTTCCCAAACACCATCACTCTGCTAAACAAATAATTCCCTCAACACTGTCGAACTATTTACTAAATCTGCACTACTATTAATCTTCTCATCATTCCCATCACACATCTCCTTCCACTTATGACCATATGACTGTAACTTTGTTGCTTGTATCCTTACGATTGATATTGATATTGATATTGATTATTGATTTTTATTTGTACCCTATGACTATCATTAAGTGTTGTACCTTATGATTCTTGATGAACGTATCTTTTCTTTTATGTACACTGACAGCATACTCACCAAGACAAATTCCTTGTGTGTCCAATCACACTTGGCCAATAAAAAAATCTATTCTATTCTATTCTATTCTATTCTATTCTATTCTATTCTATTCTAACTGGTAGATAATTCTTTAAATATTCTTAGTTGGAAAAAGCATGCTAGAAAGGTCTTTGGAGTTAAAATGCATATAAGAACACTTATTTCAAGAGGTCACTATCAAGTGCATATCATAGACAAAAATCTGTATACTGTAAATATGAATTTCCATATATTTGAAAAACAAGTGGGAATTGTCTTTAAAGAGAACTTTTTTAAAAAACTGACACAGAATGAAACTGGTTTTATGATCTAAGAATGGCTTCCATGTTTAATCTAAAAGCTGATATTCAAGCTTGAACGCACAAAACATAAAATAACAGCAGAATTAAGCTAGATCAGAACTGCCTTTTGACTACAGAGCCATTCTTAATATCTCAGACTGGTTGTTTTGCCTCTGCGCTGCTACCTCTTTAGGTACAGACAGCAAATTACACTGGGAGAAGAGATCTGGTGTTGGTTGTGTGGACTGTGATGCAGTCTAATGATCTCCAGTTATATTGGAGAACACTCATCTATACATATTTTTGACTGTGTTGATATGAGTTGCTCAACCCATCTGGAGGACATCATCTCTTTAGATTTCTGCCTGAACAGTTTTTGCTGGGAGCCTATTAAACTTGGTTGTACAATCACAAAAGGATTCCCAAACTTAAATTTGGAACAAAGGTTTATTGCATACATGAAACTCAGTACACTTTTATTACCAAATGCATATATATTAAATTTCAGAGAACTAGAAGAATATCTATTAATATTCAGTGGGCTGCACCCATTCCCTGGGTATTTAAAATTAACCTCAAATTATAGTTCAGAAGTGATCACAGTAATTTGTCAATGTGGGACATGTTTCTTCTTTTCTCTTTAACTTAGTGTGCTTCATTCTTCATTATCCACACAGCTGGCCAACAAAGCTGCCAGTAGTTTATGCCGAGATTACTTTCACAGAAGTTGCTTATTTCTTCCACATGGTATGTATGATTAATCATTCTTTGTAAACAGTAACAGTCCTGATGAGTTAATAATCGGATTTACCACTAAACAGAAGATTTATGGTTCTGAAAATGCAAGGTTAAATGATATATATAAAAATAAATAAATCCAACCACAATATTCAAAAGTTTAAATGCTGTCTTGAGAATATTTTTTATAGAGCTAAAGAAAGTTCTGGAGAAAATTTTGGTGTAGTTCCAGTAATAGATCTATGCCACGATCAAAGTTTTAGGGTAAAGAAACAGAGATTGTAATGACAGTAATGCACATCCTCTTTCATTGTACTAATATTTTTGTTTAACTTCACTAATAAGAAAGAGATAGTTAAAAGGAGTGTAACTGACAAAGCAGGAACTTATGGTCAGCAGTAATTGAGTGCCTTCCAAGACTATTAAGAAGCTGGACAACCATTTGTCTGGAATGATACAGGGTCTCCTGCTTAAGCAGAAAGTTGGACTAGAAGACCTCTAAGGTTCCTTCCAACTCTATTATTCTATATTCTATGTTCTACCATTCTTTCTGCATTCAATTTGAATACTTATGGTTTTCAGAAAATGGATTCACTTTATTTAGGATTTAAAATAAGATTCTTAACTTGCAAATATTCATATTCTTAGATTCAGGTTTGCTACAGAGATACTGTACAAGTACCTT